AAATTAAAACCACATGTGTAGAATGGTATTCTAGAAAATCATCCAATGTTGAAGTTTGAAGGAAACTTCCACACAGAAGAAAATCAGTAAACATTGGATCTAGTAACGCTCTCATGTTTTCTTCTAACTGTAACTGTGAAAGTGATCGCCATAGCGGAGAGTTTGTAAGGCAAGCATCAATCGTTTCAGATCTAGTTCCTTTCCGTACTACTGGAAGTCTTTGCCTAAAGTCTCCACCAAGAACAACTACTTTCCCTCCAAAAATTTATGTTGAGTCCATAAGATCCCGTAGCAAGTCATCTAAAGCTTCAACTGCTGAACGTTTCGCCATTGGAGCTTCATCCCATATTATTAGGTTGGAGCTCTTGATCAAAGTCGCTAACGAACATTGTTTACTAATTCTACAGGTTGATCCTTCTGCCAAATCAAGTGGAATTTTAAATCTTGAATGAGTTGTCCTGCCTCCAGGAAGAAGTGATGCAGCGATACCCGATGTGGCAGTAGCTAGAGCAATGTCACCTTGTGATCTAATCGTTGCCAACAATGCTTTATACAGAAAAGTTTTTCCTGTACCTCCTGGTTCATCTATAAAAAATGCTCCACTTTTCTTACGGTTGACTCTTCCAATAATTTCATTGAATGCTAATCTTTGTTTTTCATTCAAGTTTTCTATTGCTCTCAGATCAGCCTCAGATACAACTATACTTTTTTCAGCTCTAATATCTCTTGTTTCATCTTGTAAATCATTGTATGAAAAATCAATAGGTAGCACATCGAAATCATGAAGCTGCTTTCCAATTGATTGAAGAAAGAAATCAACTTGTTGTAGCGCACGCTTTCTCGCCTCTCTATGTGTGTATTTGTTGGACTTTACAAGATCTTCCAACATCATGTCTTCAAAAGATGACCATAGTTGACGGGGATTATTTGGGCACGTGTAAACAAGGATGGTTGCAAATAGTCTTTGTAACTCATATGGCATATGGAAAACGGATGCCTCCTGCAAACACAACTGTTGACTATTGTCATCCATCAAATAACCACGGAGCAATGCCGATTCCCGAAACGTGTCAACTTTGAGTCCGTTAAAAATTTTCAAATCATCATATGATTTAGGACAACGGATTTTTGACAACAGAATCCTAAGGTAATATCTTTCACCTTCGCTCGGATGTGCAATAACTATTCGGCCTATTGACCTCTCTGATTGTCTGGGTGACCACATTTTATTGCCCGCTTTCCATGTAAAATGATATGGATACTGCACATATGTCAAATTCAGTTTTTGTGCATATCTATCTGTAGCATTGTTATAAAAAAACTCAGTAAGCATTGTTTTTCTGCGATCAGGATTTTCTATTATATTACTCAATCCTTGTCTTTTATTGAACACTATCGGTTGATAATTTTCCAAATGAAGAGCCAAATGGATAACCGCCGGTTTAATATCACCTAAAAGAAATCTGTATATTCTCCATGCTCCTTCAGGAGCAGAAATCCACCTAGCTGATTGAAATTGTTGGATTTCATCCACACATTCAGAATTGTAATTAGAAGTAACAGCAAAACTTATTTTATCACATCCCTTACATATATATTTATATATATATTTTACAGCTTTTATTGTAGAGCATATTTCTATATTAACATGACAATCAAATTTACATAACAAATAAGCATTTTAAGGAACAACCCATCTGTTATCAAGTTTAGCACCCCTAACAATAACACTAACTCCATTATTACGTCTACGATATGTAGGATATGCGTCATTAGTCTGATTTGTCTCATGACAAAATTCTTTTGGATATGAGTTCTTGCAAGTTCCATTTTTCATGCAAACATTTTTTGGATTTAGGTTACCACATGCACCATGAAGCATGTGTTTCACAAACATCTTATGTAGATGAGGATTGGAATGTTCATTTGGTAATTCAGCACAAACAATCTCATCATACTCCTTAGGTTCATACATCTTAAAATCATGTTCAAGTATGAGCAAAAAGTGTGCATGTGGCAAACCTCTCTTCTGGAATTCTATGACATAAGTATAGGCAGCTACTTTTCCAAAGATATTTTTCTTTAAAATTTCATTCTTGAACAACTCAAGTTTTGCATGGAAAACCCTGACAACCAAATCAGCTCTGTTATGTGTCTCTTCATGAGCCATCATGTGTTGTCTAATCTCGGGCCAATTAGGATTACATGTTAAGGTCAAAAAAAGGTCCGGTTTACCAAATTTCTGGACTAACGCCATAGCATCTATATATTTTCGTCTCATATTTCTTGGTCCACCAATAAACGTTGCTGGCAGAACGACACATTTACCAATAGCTGAAGCCTCACTTTCACCACTTGCCATAGCGTCTACAATTCCTTGTAAAAACTCTTGTCATATGTCAGCTTGTTGTGTCCTATAAAAAGCTAATCTTTGCGTCTCTAATTTAACATAGCTATCAACTATGTATTGCTGTAACAACCGACCAAAATGCAGCAAGTGGGATTTATCATGCCTACTTATTTGAAGTTTGTAAGCATAATATTCCCTGACCGAAACGTACTTTGAACTTTCAGAATTCCTGGCCAGAACTGTTAAAAAAAACAAAATGATGATAGATAAAAGGAACAAGAAAAAAGTGAAAATGAATATTTACCATTTTCTTCCATATCCAAAAGGTGTTCAGCACTGGTAGCAGTTACAGGTGAGATAAGCTTTTCTACTGTGGAAACAACATTTCTTCCATTTCCCCTTTCAACGTCTTTCTTTTTGGGAATATGTTGATGCCAACCAAGTTCTCCAAATGGGAACATCAAAGGATATTGCAAAGGATCGTAACAACCATAGTAATATTGAACACTCCTGGAGCAGTCACTGTGTAACTTAACTTCAATGTTTCTCCGACCGTGTTCCCCGTTCTCTTGACCTTCAATCCAAATAGCAGCTACTTGAGAAACTTCTGGTTTATTAAAAACCCTTTGATCTTGTCCCGGAATAGTCTTAAGAATAATCTTACATTCATCTAAGTTTGGAACATCCCTTAAATTTCTAAAAAAACGAGCATACGGATTATCTTTCAGATATTCAATACATTTCGCAATCAAGTGTATACATAACCGCGGAGAATCCGACAAATGATTTTCCAATTCATTATCAGTGTGGTGAAAGTACAATTGTAAATTTTTGGAATCATTTTCCTGAGGCGACAAGTTGTTTATAAAATGATAAACCTGACCTTGAACTCTAAAAGTGTAAATTCCTTTATTTCTTTTACTGAGTTCATTATCTGCTGTAACCCCAAAAGAAGTAAAAGCAAAGTGGTTGTTGTATGTTCTAATATATGTCCTAAATGAGATAGCTTCTTTTGATGTTGAAGTCAGTAGATCTTGCATCAAAAGTGGGAGCTCAATATTTGACAAAACAACACGACCATCTAGACAACAAAAATTAGCTGTTTCTGAATAAAATTTGACAGCATCACAGTAACGACAGCGGACGTCAGGAAGGACATCAGAAGCAAAGGGGACTTGTTGTAACAAATGTTTGCCTGTCCTATTATTCAGCTGTCTTCTCATATAACTCGTCTTACCTACATCAATTGAATTTTTTAATGCTTTATCATTAGCCAAACAACTTGGTGGCAATAAAAGTCTTTTTTTAGTTGTCTTTTTCTTCCATCTGTCAATGGCTGCTCTCCTGTACTGCTTCTTGTCCATTAAAACATTCGGAAATAGATCCAAAGGTGGACCCGAAATAGCCGACGTCTCAGCTGAAGCAGTTGTATTTCGTTTTGCTTTGTCATAAGACAAACAACTCGGTGTACGTTTACTTTTCTTTTTCTTCCATCTTTCAATAGCTTTTTTCCTGTATTGGTTCATGTCAATTAAAACATCAGAAAATACTTTTGAGGTCTCACCCGAAATATAAACGGCAAACTTCGATGCAATTGTATGATTATTTCTCTTTAACTTCCATCTTATAATAGCTTCTCTCCTGTACTGCCTCTTGTCAAGAAAATGAGAACATATCATAGGACATTTACCTCTCTTTTCCCTCCATCTTATAATGGCTTCTCTTCTATACTGCTTCCGGTTGTATACATCTCCTAAGACAATATTTTTATTTTCAGTTTTATCATTCATCACTTCTTTTTCTGAGTTGAGCATAACTATTGCTTTATGCTTCTTATCTCCATATCTATCAATTGAACCTAGAGGGCCTCGTTTTCTGCCCGAAATAACAGAAGGATCCCCCATATTAATTATAAAAGCTGGAAAAAAGCTAAAACCGAAGAGCTAGTTGGGGTAAGAAGATGCAACAACACAAAAATTCAAACAGCAAGTACTTTTTTTTTCTTTTTTCCTTTTATGAAATGCAATAAAATTAAAATCTAACTTTTGGAACCATTAAAAATATTTTTTAGAGACAGAAAACACAAAAAGGATATCAGAAAACAAACCAAGAGGATCTTTGTTGATGATGAATATGCAAAGGAGGAATCGTTACACTACTAGAAAACATGGCGTTTTCCTACGGAAAATAGCTACGGAAAATTTCCGTAGCTAATTAGCTACGGAATCGCTACGGATCAGCTACAGAATGAGATGCCCTGTTGGGAATATTAGGGTTTGTGGTGGAGATCTGGATACCAACTTGGATCGTGATATCACTTTCCGAACTGATATT